ACAACTCAACTCAGCTTCTCAACACAACTCAACACTACTAACACAACTCAACTCAGCTTAACTCAACACAACTCAACACTACTCAACACGACTCAACTTAAACAAAACACAACACAACTCAACTCAACACAGCACAACTCAACACAACTCTACACTACTCAACACAACTCAATCCAACACAACACAACACAGCACAACTCAACTCCAACACAACTCAACACTACTCAACACAACTCAACTTAACACAACACAGCACAACTCAACACTTTAACACAACTCAACTCAGCTTAACTCAACACAACTCACCACAGCACAACTCAACACAACTCAACACTACTCAACACAACTCAACCTAACTCAACTCACAGCACAACTCAATACTACTCCAACTCAATACTACTCAATCCAACACAACTCTACAGCCAGACAACTCAACACAACTCAACACAACTCAACTCAACTCTACACAGCACAACTCACACTACTCAACTCAACACTACTCAACTCAACTCTACACAGCACAACTCAATTCAACTCAACACAACTCAATACAACTAACACAACTCAACTCAAATTCTACACAGCACAACTCAACACAACTCAATCCCATCTCACAGCACAACTCAACACTACTCAACCCAACTCAACACAGCACAACTCAACTCAACTGAAAACTCAACACAACTCAACTCAACTCTACACAGCACAACTCAACTCAACTCTACACAGCACAACCCAACACTACTCAACCCAACTCAACTGAACACAACTGAACACAACTCAACACAACTCAACACTACTCAACTCTACACAGCTCAACTCAACTCTACACAGCACAACTCAACTCAACTCAACTCAACTCAACTCTATACAGCTCAACTCAACTCTACACAGCACAACTCAACTCAACTCAGCACAACTCAACACTACTCAACCCAACACAACTGAACACAACTCAACAAAACTCAACTGAACACAACTGAACACAACTCAACACTACTCAACTCTACACAGCTCAACTCAACTCTACACAGCACAACTCAACTCTACACAGCACAACTCAACACTACTCAACTCAACACAACTCAACTCTACACAGCACAACTCAACACTACTCAACTCAACTCAACTCAACTCAACACTACTCAATTCAACTCAACTCAACTCAACTCACTAAGATTATATCAACAAGCTGCAGGACGAGTGTGTCATCAACTACTACTAAAAATAAAAACTAATTTATCATACAATTTTTTTTTACTTATAATACATAAGATTTGTATACTTGTGATATGTATAGAGGTCATACATGTATAGAGGCCATATATGTATAGAGGTCGTATATGTATATAGATTGTATATGTATAGAGATCGTATATGTATATAGATCGTATATGTATAGAGGTCGTATATGTGTAGAGGTCGTATATGTATAGAGGTCGTATATGTGTAGAGGTCGTATATGTATAGAGGTCGTATATGTATAGAGGTCGTATATATAGAGGTTATGTATAGTCGTATGTATAGAGGTCGTATATGTATAGAGGTCGTATATGTATAGAGGTGTATATATAGAGGTCGTATATATAGAGGTCGTATATGTAGAGATCTGTATGTAGTCGTATATGTGTAGAGGTCGTAATATAGAGGTATTATAGAGTCGTATATGTATAGAGGTCGTATATGTATAGAGGTCGTTATATGTATAGAGGTCGTATATATATATAGAGGTCGTATATATATAGAGGTCGTATATGTATAGAGGTCGTATATGTATAGAGGTCGTATATGTATAGAGGTCGTATATATAGAGGTCGTATATGTATAGAGGTCGTATATGTATAGAGGTCGTATATGTATAGAGTCGTATATATATATAGAGGTCGTATATGTATAGAGGTCGTATATGTATAGAGGTCGTATATGTAAAGGGTCGTATATATATAGAGGTCGTATATTATAGGGTCGTATATGTATAGAGGTCGTGTATAGAGATCGTATATGTATAGAGGTCGTATATGTGTGAGGTCGTATATATAGAGGTCGTATATGTATAGAGGTCGTATATGTATAGAGGTCGTATTAGGGTATATATATTATATGTATGAGGTCGTATATGTATAGAGGTTATGTATAGAGTCGTATATGTATAGAGGTCGTATATGTATAGAGGTCGTATATGTATAGGGTCGTATATGTATAGGGTCGACATATGTATAGAGGTCGTATATATATAGAGGTCGTATATGTATGGGGTCGTATATGTATGAGGTCGTATATATGTAGAGGTCGTATATGTATAGAGGTCGTATATATAGAGGGTCTATATGTATAGAGGTCTATAGATAGGGTCGTATATGTATAGAGGTCGTATATGTATAGAGGTCGTATATGTATAGGGTCTATATGTATAGAGGTGTTATGTATAGAGGTCGTATATGTATAAGTCGTATATATAGGGTCGTATATATATAGAGGTCATATGTATAGGGTCGTATATGTATAGGGTCGTATATGTATAAGTCGTATATGTATAGAGGTCGTTATATGTATAGAGATATGTAGAGGTCGTATATGTATAGAGGTCGTATATGTATAGAGGTCATTATATGTATGAGGTCGTATATGTATAGGGTCGTATATGTATGGGGTCGTATATGTAAGGTCGTATATATATAGAGGTCATTATATGTATAGAGGTCGTATATGTATAGAGGTCGTATGTATAATGTATATATGAGGTCGTATATATGTGTAGAGGTCGTATATGTATAGGAGTCGTATATGTATAGAGTCGTATATGTATAGAGGTCGTATATGTATGAGGTCGTATATATATATATAGGATGTAGAGGTCGTATGTATAGAGTCGTATATGTATAGAGGTCGTATATATAGAGGTCTTATATGTGTGAGGTCTATTATAGGGGTCGTATGTATAGAGGTCGTATATGTATAAGTCATATATGTATGGTCGTATATATATGGTCGTATATATAGAGGTCGTATATGTATAGAGGTCGTATATATATAAGTCGTATATGTATAGAGTCGTATATGTATAGAGGTCGTATTATATATAGAGGTCGTATATGTATAGAGGTCGTATATGTATGAGGTCGTATGTGTATAGGGTCGTATATGTATAGAGGTCGTATATGTATAGAGGTCGTATATGTATAAGTCGTATGTATAGAGGTCGTATATATATAGAGATTGTATATGTATAGGGTCGTATATGTATAGAGGTCGTATATGTATATAGGTCGTATATGTATAGAGGTCGTATGTATATAGAGATCGTATATGTATAGGGTCGTATATATATAGAGATTGTATATGTATGAGGTCGTATATGTATAGAGGTCATATATGTATAAGTCATATATATAGAGGTCGTATATATAGGAGTCGTATATGTATAGAGGTCGTATATGTATAGAGGTCGTATATATATAGAGGTCGTATATGTATAGAGGCCGTATATGTATAGAGGCCGTATATGTATAGAGGTCGTATATGTATAGGAGTCGTATATATATAGACGTCGTATATGTATAGAGGTCGTATATGTATGAGGGTCGTATATGTATATAGAGGTCATATGTATAGGGTCGTATATGTATAGAGGTCGTATATAGAGAGTCGTATATGTATAGAGGTCGTATATGTATAAGATTTCATTATGTATGTGGGGTCGTATATGTATAGAGGTCATATATGTATAGGGTCGTATATGTATAGAGGTCGTATATGTATAGAGGTCATATATGTATAGGGTCGTATATGTATAGAGGTCTTATTGTATAGTCGTGTATATGTATAAGTCGTATATGTATAGAGTCGTATATGTATAGAGGTATATGTATAGAGGTCGTATATGTATAGGTTCGTATATATGTAGAGGTCGTATATGTAGGGTCATATGTATAGAGGTATATGTATAGAGGTCGTATATGTATAGAGGTATATGTATAGAGGTCGTATATGTATAGAGGTCGTATATGTATAGAGGTATATGTATAGAGGTCGTATATATAGGGTATATGTATAGAGGTCATTATGTATAGAGGTCGTATATGTATGGGGTCGATATATATAGAGGTCGTATATGTATAGAGGTCGTATATGTATATAAATAAAATACATGTATATATAAATTTGTGATGGTGTTAAAGCTTCTACACTGAAACAATTTTATTTGTTTGTTTATTTTGTTTCTGTTGTTACCGGTTGGGGTTGGGGAGGTGGTGGTTGTGTTTTGGGTCGGGTTGTAACAACAGTCAGGATATATTTATAATCACAACCCAGGAGTTATGGGTTGTATTAATAATAATTGCCGGTTATGTTGACAGTGTTATGTATCTGATGAATAAATGATTTATAGTCAAATATGTTGTTGAAGGTTGTGAGGTCATGGTTGTGATGTTGGTCATGTGTGATGGTTGTTAGAGTTGTTATGTAATGTTGACTCATAACTTGTTGTAAACTTCCATGATAACTGTGTCTTTGTTTGTGTGGTGGGGTATATATTGTGTGTGTGTGTGTGTGTGTGTATATGACATACGTGTGTATGTGTGTACGTGTATGTATATGCATGTCTGTGTGTGTATCTGCATATTCCTATGTGTTTATGTACGTGAACGTATGTGTGTGTGCATGTTGTGAATGCATGCATGTGTGTGTGTGTGTGCATGTATGTGTGTGTGTGTGTGTGTGTGTGTGTGTGTGTGTGTGTGTGTGTGTGTGTGTGTGTGTGTGTGTGTGTGTGTGTGTGCAGCCATGGCATGTGATGTGTGTGTGTGTGTGTGCATGCATGCATGCATGTGTGTGTGTGCATGCATGTGATGTGTGTGTGTGTGTGTGTGTGTGTGTGTGAATCAGCCGTTCATCAGACCCCAAATTAGCCATCACCATAAGATAAAGACCAACCAAGTGTGTTAGAGGTCAGAGGTCAGGTGAGGCGTGACCCTGGGAGGTGTTGACCTTGCCACACTCACCATCCTCCTGAGGGAAAAATATTGGGGTTATCACGGATGAATACACACCAGTTCCTCCTCCGTTCACCAGTAAATTGGGTTCACACCAGACAAGAATGGTGGGGGTGTAAGACGGTGTGGGGAAGGTGTTGGTGGATGTGGGTGACGTGTGTGTGGGTGTAGGTTGGATGTTAATGGGTGTGGGGGAGGTATGGGCTTGCACAGGCACTAGGCTCCTTACCCTATCCTCTACCACATACGGGTTATTTGAGGTCATATTTCGTATTCCGCCGACCCTACTGGCGGATGCTGGTCTAGGGAGGTTGTCTGTTGCCTGGCTGTAAAGATCAGGTGTGTGGTGATGGAGTCCTTGAGGTGTGGTAACTTTTTGGGACCATATTTTGTCACTCTCTGGTGGTAGTCTTTGTGGGAGTCTTTGCTCGAATCCATTTATTTTGTTGTCATATTCTTCTGGCTAGGGATTGTAGCTGGTGTGTACTTCAGCTGGGTGCAGGGGAGGTGTTGGTGGGTGTTAGGGGTGTGAGTGGATGTGGGGGAGGTGGTGTGAGTGGGGGTGGTGTTAGTGGTTGGGGAGGTGGGTAGGATGTGGGGAGGTGGTGTTGAGTGGATGTGGGGGAGGTGGGTGTTAGTGGTTGTGGGGGAGGTGGGTGTTAGTGGATGTGGGGGGAGGTGGGTGTTATGGATGTGGGGGAGGTGGGTGTTAGTGGTTGTGGGGGAGGTGGGGTATGGTGGATGTGGGGGAGGTGGTGTGGAGAGTGGATGTGGGGGAGGTGGGTGTTAGTGGATGTGGGGAGGTGGGGTGTTAGTGGTTGTGGGGAGGTGGGTGTTAGTGGATGTGGGGGAGGTGGGTGTGTGTGGATGTGGGGGGGGGGGGAGGTGGGTGTTAGTGGATGTGAGGTGGGTGTGTGGAGTGGAGGTGGGTGTTAGTGGATGTGAGGTGGTGTTAGTGGATGTGGGGGTGGGTGTGTAGTGGATGTGGGGGTGTGTGTGTGTGGGAGGTGGGGTTGTGGTGTGGGGAGGTGGGGTTGGGGAGGTGGTGTTAGTGGATGTGGGGGGAGGTGGGTGTTAGTGGATGTGGGGGAGGTGGGTGAGTGGATGTGGGGGGAGGTGGTGTTAGTGGATGTGGGGGTGGGTTGGTGGATGTGGAGGTGGGTGTTAGTGGTTGTGGGGGAGGTGGGTGTTAGTGGATGTGGGGAGGTGGGTGTTAGTGGGGATGTGGGGGGGTGGGTGTTGGAGGTGTGGGGAGGTGGGTGTTGAGTGGATGTGGGGGGTGGGTGTTAGTGGATGTGGGGGAGGTGGGTGTTAGTGGATGTGGGGGGAGGTGGGTGTTATGGTGTGGGGGAGGTGGTGTTAGTGTGGGGGAGGTGGGTGTTAGTGGATGTGGGGGGAGGTGGGTAGTGGATGTGAGGAGGTGGGTGTTAGTGGTGTGTGGGGGAGGTGGGTGTTGGTGGATGTGGGGGGTGGGTGAGTGGATGTGGGGAGGTGGGTGTTGTAGTGGTTGTGGGGAGGTGGGTGTTGAGTGGATGTGAGGGTGGGTGTTAGTGGATGTGGGGAGGTGGGTGTTGATGGTTGTGGGGGAGGTGGGTGTTGGTGGTTGTGGGGGGAGGTGGGTGTTAGTGGTGTGGGGGAGGTGGGTGTTAGTGGATGTTGGGGAGGTGGGTGTTAGTGGTTGGGAGGTGGGTGTTAGTGGATGTGAGGTGGGTGTTGGTGGATGTGGGGGAGGTGGGTGTTGGTGGATGTGTGGGGAGGTGGGTGTTGGTGGATGTGGGGAGGTGGGTGTTGGTGGATGTGGGGGAGGTGGGTGTTGGTGGTTGTGGGGGAGGTGGGTGTTGGTGGATGTGAGGGAGGTGGGTGTTGGTGTGGATGTGGGGAGGTGGGTGTTGGTGGTTGTGGGGAGGTGGGTGTTGGTGGATGTGGGGGTGGGTGTTAGTGGATGTGGGGAGGTGGGTGTTGGTGGTGTGTGGGGGGAGGTGGGTGTTGTGGTTGTGGGGGGAGGTGGGTGTTGGTGGATGTGGGGGGGAGGTGGGTGTGGTGGATGTGGGGGGAGGTGGGTGTTAGTGGTTGTGGGGAGGTGGGTGTTAGTGTGGTTGTGGGGAGGTGGGTGTTAGTGGTTGTGGGGGGGAGGTTTGGTGTTGATGGATGTGGGGAGGTGGGTGTTGTTAGTGGATGTGGGGGAGGTGGGTGTTAGTGGATGTGGGGAGGTGGGTGTTAGTGGATGTGGGGGGAGGTGGGTGTTAGTGGATGTGGGGGGAGGTGGGGTGTTAGTGGATGTGGGGAGGTGGGTGTTAGTGGATGTGGGAGGTGGGTGTTGTTGTGGATGTGGGGGAGGTGGGTGTTGGTGGTTGTGGGGGAGGTGGGTGTTAGTGGATGTGAGGGAGGTGGGTGTTAGTGTGGATGTGGGGGGAGGTGGGTGTTGGTGGTTAGTGGGGTGGGTGTTGGTGGTTGTGGGGGAGGTTGGTGTTGTGGATGTGGGGGAGGTGGGTGTTAGTGGATGTGGGGGGAGGTGGGTGTTGGTGGATGTGGGGGAGGTGGGTGTTGGTGGATGTGGGGGAGGTGGGTGTTGGAGTGGATGTGGGGGAGGTGGGTGTTGGTGGATGTGAGGTGGGTGTTAGTGGATGTGGGGGGGTGGGTGTTAGTGGTTGTGGGGAGGGTGGGTGTTGTGTGGTTGTGGGGGAGGTTGGTGTTGGTGGATGTGGGGAGGTGGGTGTTGGATGTGGGGAGGTGTTAGGTGGATGTGGGGGTGGGTGTTGGTGGATGTGGGGGAGGTGGGTGTTGGTGGATGTGGGGAGGTGGGTGTTGGTGGATGTGGGGTGGGTGTTGAGTGTGGTGTGAGGTGGGTGTTAGTGGATGTGGGGAGGTGGGTGTTGGTGGTTGTGGGGGAGGTGGGTGTTAGTGGTTGTGGGGAGGTTGGTGTTGGTGGATGTGGGGGTTGGTGTTGGGTGGATGTGGGGGAGGTGGGTGTTGGTGGATGTGGGGTGGGGTGGTGGTGTGAGGTGGGTGTTAGTGGATGTGGGGGAGGTGGGGTGTTAGTGGATGTGGGGAGGTGGGTGTTAGTGGATGTGGGGGGAGGTGGGTGTTAGTGGATGTGAGGGGTGGGTGTTAGTGGATGTGGGGAGGTGGGTGTTAGTGGTTGTGGGGGAGGTGGGTGTTGGTGGTTGTGGGGAGGTTGGTGTTGGTGGATGTGGGGGAGGTGGGTGTTGTTGAGTGGATGTGGGGAGGTGGGTGTTAGTGGATGTGGGGAGGGGTGTGTGGTGTGATGGGGGGGGTGGTGGGGGTGGGGGGAGGTGGGTGTTGGTGGATGTGGGGGAGGTGGGTGTTGTGGATGTGGGGAGGTGGGTGTTGAGTGGTTGTGGGGAGGGGTGTTGGTGGATGTGGGTGTTGGTGGATGTGGGGGGTGGGTGTTGGTGGATGTGGGGGGAGGTGGGTGTTAGTGGATGTGGGGTGGGTGTTGTGGTG